TCAGCCTCCAAAAGAGAAGGCTGAGGGGGGATATAGTGGCCTGTTATAAACTAATCAGGGGGGATCAGCAGGCACTGGGGGAGTCCCTGTTCCCCCAAGCACTACCAGGAGTAATTAGGAATAATGGTCACAAGCTGGCAGAGAGTAGATTTAGGCTAGATATCAGGAGGCACTACTTCACGGTCAGGGCGGCTAGGATCTGGAACCAACTTCCAGGAGAAGTGGTGCAGGATCCTACCCTTGGGGGTTTTAAGAGGAGGTTAGATGAACACCTTGCTGGGGTCGTTTGACCCAAGTACTCTTTCCTGCCACGGCAAGGGGTCAGACTAGATGATCTACTTAGGTCCCTTCCGACCCTAGAAACTATGAAACTATGGATCCTCATACCATCTCTAGCTGAATGGAGAAAGGAATTAATTAGGAGCTTTCCATTATGCCACATTACATACCAGTTTAGAACCTATCCAAATATTTCTGAAAAAGGTTAAGTTATTATTGTAACTCCAAAGATTGCAATTCAGCTGGAATCAGGGTCAATTCTCAACTCTGCCATTAAGATCATAAATCACTTAAGGCAGTGATTTTCAAACAGTGGTCTGTAGAACCCTGGGGTTCTGCAGACTATGTCTAAGGGGTCTGCAAAAGATGGGTATGATCAACCAAAGTATGTGAATACCGACACTTAAAATTCAAAGGGTCTGCACTTCCATTTGGAATATTTTAGGGGTCCGCAAATGAAAACAGGTTGAAAGATTAACTCCCTGAATGCCAGATTCCATTCCATGGCCTTGCACTGGACTGGTTGTCACTACCGTAGACCTAACCCCAGCCCTGGTCCCAGCACCATGCATGCAGATTGGGACCCAGTGCCCTAGCCGTGACCCCGTGCATGCTGGATTGGTCCTGCTGCCCCAGTCGCAGTTCCCTGCACTCAGTGGCATGTGATCTGGCCCTGTTTTAGGCTCAGTGATTAGGTTCTTCATCCCGGAAACAAAAGACCAAGATCCAAGGCCCCCTTGTTCAGGGAGGGATCTGAATCTGCATCTCTTTAACTTGCCAGCACAGTGTTTAATTATCACACCAGAGGTCAGGCATTTCCAGAGCAAGCACAATATAGCAAATTTACAATCTTTCATTGTGAAATCTTGATCAAAATTATTTTGTTCAATAAACTCTATGCCTTGTAAGCAGTAACAAAAGTTTAAGTTTAAGTAGCTGGGCTTTTGCTGGTGCATGCACCTTGACACCTGGCTGCCTTAGATGTTGAGTGCTAACACATAAAATATAAATCAAATTCATGTATCAAATTCTGAAACATTATTCATAACTTCTAGCTGAGTGAACTGGTACACTTTACAAAAATGATCCTATTGTTTAGCACATACCTTGATTCATCAGAACCAGGCTTCCTGCCAGCAGTGCCACACAGTTGGTAGGCTGATGGTTATGTAGGTATTGGAAACCCCATCCACGCCTGTATGATGTTTCATACATATATCCTGAGGCATTGGCAATGACCTCAAGAAATCTCTCCTGTTGATTCTTGCTCAGGTAATTGTACAAGAAGTCATAAGCAGTGGCAAAACCAACTAAAGAATGAGCAAGAGGGACTTCATCCCATGGTGCATCCTTCACTAACCTGTCAAAGAAGAAAGAAGTCAGTTGAGCTTCGCTGATGTTTTACCATGCTTTATGTCACATGTGGCTCAATATTTCTAAGATTAGGTGCCTAGTACAAGGAATTTAATACATAAAACAAACTTCTGGTAACCATTTCAGTTGCTTCTAAAAATGGACATCAGTCACCCTTAAAAACACACCACTTGTCTCAAATAAAGGTATTTATCTGCCTTAATTATTTACCTTGATATTTACAATATTTTAAACTTTTAAAAAGTGCTTGAATAATTACATGAAAGTCCTGTATATTCTGTATTGCAGTACAGAATATATCTTCAGAAGAAGCATAAATAGGAAGCAACAATGTGAGCTCTGTATTTCACATATGCCATCAATTAGCCATGAACGGGAGTTAGGATAGAAGAATTTGATCAAATGATATGAAAGCAGATCAACAGCTTTAAAATGGTTGAAAATGATCCTATTTAGACATCCATAGACAATGTCTACTTTGCCAAGGGGAATTACGGTGCTAAATCTAACAAAGTTATAAACTGAAACTAGAAAAAATTCATAGACCATATTTATTATTGTGTACATTTTAGATGCACGTGCATTTCAGATACTAGTTTTCCAGTGAAGAGAGTTTTAAGGAATACATGTAAGGTATTGATATTTAGTATGATAAATGATAACTCACTGCCTGCATAGTTTTCTTTTCCCTTTAACTCTGTTAATTCACTTTGCAGCATAGTTTTTATTTATAAAAAATAAAACAGCAAGGATGAAATGCAGGTCTCGCTGCAGTCACTGAAAAATTTACCATTCAATAAAGCCACGAATTCACCCTAGGTTTTTATAAATAGTAGAGTAAACAGAGATACTAAAAGTTTGATGGAACATGATTAAAAACAATCTATGCTGTTTAGTATGTATATATATTCAAAATGTGCCAATGAACAATTTAGAAATGTTGTGTTGCTGACTCTGTTGACTCAAAGACACAGAACGAGGTTTTATATCAAACTGCAAGCCATATCAAACTGCATATCAAAACAAGCCATATCAAACTGCAATTTCTAAGGGGAAAAAAGGACTTTTTTTAATGTCAATACATTTCACTGTGTAAATGACTGAAGAATTCAGTCAAAACACAGGACAGCCTGACATTTGCCTAAGGGCATACAGATTATTTGGTTTGGTAACTTTAAACTGCTTAAGTGGTCATTGGGTCACCTCTCTTCCCTTCACTGAGCATTCACTATCTAATGTTACATACCCACTTCCTTTAGGCTTCAGTTCTATCTTCTGCTTAGTGAAATTACAGTCCTACCCTATCAGTTCATTTCCAAGTATATTATTTTTTAATAAATAAGGCTTTTCTCAAACAAATTCTGAAGTAAACAAATATTTGAAGACTTCCTTCTTTTAGACTGGATTTTTTCTTTTTGCATTTTTCTCAACCATATTTCATATATATTTTTGTTCTTGCTATTGTTTGGGGACAGGGCTGTTGTCAAGGAACAAAACCAATAAAGATACATCAATATACATTTGATGGAGCTGCTAATCATTAGGGCACTGAAGAAAAGCTGATCAATTGTACTATCAGCCTTTTCTAGATCTGTGTATTCAAATTCTGTTCTCTATAATGTCTCTCACTCAACACTTCTCTGTTATTTTCTCCCAAATCAAACTCGAAACATACCAATGAGGACTTAATGCCAGATTCAACAAAAATTCTTATGGGGGGAGTTCAGGCATTCAGTGTGGAAACGCTGCAGCCCTTAAAGCCAAATGTTCCCTAGAAGCTCATTATTTCCATTTGACAACAGCAAACATTTCCAGATAAATTAACTGAGAAGTTAACTAAATTTGCTGAACAAGTCTGTACACACCCAGGGTGTTTTTATACTGTCTCCTTAGAGGCACAAAACTTGGAAACTGGTTAATCCATTATTTGTAAAACATAACTCATCTCTATATCTCATGCCATTTTTGCTATTTTACCCTCAATGTTCATAAAATTTACTACTAGACTCTAATTAATTGATAGAGCAGTTTATTTGTAGTTAAAGGTATGGTTAAACAGATATATTCTTCCCTGACTTACCACTGGGCACAACTACGCAGAATGCAACTGTTGTCATCTAAGTTGTGAACCCTCAACCAACAAATGTACCCTTGGACAAAAATTTTGTGAGCCTTCCTTTTTAAAACATGTCTCTTGTGGTTCTCACTAAACCTCTACACATTCAATACTCAGGCAGATGAATGCCACTTTAATAAGTGTCTCATTCTAGAATATGGCAGGGTACAAACTGTATACCACAGTAAAGTACAATGGAATAATTTTAGAGTTAAATCAAAGAACAATTTTACTTTACATGGCAGGATTATCACAAACAAGTTACAACAGGGCTAACAGAGTCCTTTTAAACAATCTGGGGATCTTTCATCAAAAAGGAATAGTAAATTCTAGCTTTCATTGTACGTAAGTTCTACTTTGGTAATTTTATTTTTTTGATTTGATGTAAAATGTAATTCAAATATTAAAATATGCATGGAGGTAGATTACTAGAAGACATTTTTAAATAAATAAGGGATTTAACCTATACAGGAAAGGTTAGATTTGCTCAATTATCAGTGCATTTAACTTACTGGCTTTTGACACAAATTAGGCAACACTACCACATGTAAGTACCTATGTGACACAAAATTTCGAACCAGAATAGTACTTTTCCTTGCTTAAACTAAATCATTATGCATACAAAAGAGTAACCTGCCCAACAAAATGATGGATCAATGGCTTGTCTCCAACAGAATGTATCAAATCAAAGATAAGGATTTAAAGAAGTTCAAATGTGAACACTCACAGATTTACTTAATATTCCATTTGAGCCAATGTTTATGCTTAGAATTGAATTTCTATTTAAAGCAGGATGTTTAGTTGGTGTATATCAGGATACCATCAATAGCTGAATTAATAACAGCTAATTTACACCCACTGGGAACCTAACACACTATGTTTACATTTGCAACACAATGGAAAAACAGCATAGGGGATTTCAAACCTGTCCAGATGCCCATGAAATCTCAAAAATGTGTGAATCATACAAAGCAAAATTGAAATGTCAAACATATGTCAGCCAGGTGTTCAATTTTGTAAATTGCAGCTGCAGCCTCCCAACTCCAATGAAACATCCAACAGCCAAAGAAATGCTTCAGGAGAGAAATGTATTTCCAACAATGCAGGAGGCATGTACAACCAGAGCAGGTGAGAAACATTCATCACGATTTGTCTGGAGAGCAGGACTCATGATTAGCTCACTAAGAAGTGCTTTTATGTCTAACTTTTTTGGGGGAGGGGATGGTTATATAGACAGAATTTTAAGAAGTCAGCACCACTCTGAAATTAGTTAAGCCTAAAAATAGGAGAAAAGAGATACTCTATCAAGGGTGATGATGCCCATTTCACATAACTCTAGAGGGCATAAGTAGTTTATACTTTAAACCCTAGCAAAATGCTCCTTGGGTGCTTCTACACACACAATAAGTACAGGGGCAAGCAATTATTTTGGCTGGAGGGCCACTTAATGAGTTTTGGTGAACTGCTGAGGTCCCCATGGGTCACCCTGCCCCTTGACAGTCGCCCTGCCCCCTAGTCACCATATTGGGACCAGAAGTCCCCACCCCCTAGCCCCTAACCTTTTCCACTGGAAGTTCCTCCCCTCGCTGCCTGCCAGCCCCATACTCCTTTTGGAAGGAGGGAGGGTTGCCATCTTAGAACCAAAAAAAAGGGCAAATCATTTACTAAAAGTCAAACATCTACTATAACATATTTTAATTTTATTACAAAAAATATTTTTGTCAGGATTTGTGTTTGCATAGACTATATAGAGGTGATTGCATAATAACTCAAAAATAACGTCTTACTCTTGTATATTGTACGTATGGTGGGATGTGTATGTATGGTGGTGTGTGTGTGTATGGTGGGGCATGTGTGTGTATGGTGGGGTGTGGGGCTGTGAGTGTAGGGGATGTTTGAGGGGGTGTGGTTGTGTGTGCGGGGGCATAAAGTATGTTGGGGTATGTATATGTTGGTGAGGGTTGTGGGGGAAGGGTGTGGGTGTATGAGGTTTGTGGGGTGTGAGGGAGGGTGTGGGAACCTCCCCGCACTCCCCCCCCATGGCATGCAGCTTCTGCTGCTGGCAGCAGCAGCAGGTGGCGGGGGAAGAGTTTTAGGGCACTCATGCTCAGTGCAGGAGCTGGCACCTGGTGGGGTGTGGCTCTGGCCAGTGCTGTGCATGGGGTGGGGGAGTTCAGCCTGCCTGGCCACCTCTATTGTGGGGGCTCCACCTGGCCTGCCTCCAGTTACCAGTTTTACACCAAGGGAAGCCCTGTGTTGGACTCCACAGGGAAGCAGAGGGTGAGGCTCCCTCCACTCCTAGTGGAATCCAGGGACCTGTGTGGCAGAGGGCAGGGAAGGCAGTTGGCTCCAGTGCAGGCACAGAGCCCATGCAATAGAGATGGTCCAGGCAGGCTGCGCTCCTCCCCCCTTGCACAGTGCAGGCCAGAGCCATGCCCTGCCAGGCGCCAGCACCGGGCACTAGCACCCTGAGCCGCCCCCCTGCCTTCAGCTGCTGCATGCCAGGAGGGAGTGCGTGGGGGTCCCCATACCCTCTCAGCTTATCTCACACCCACACCCTACCCAGCCGAGCTCTGCACTCCTGCCACCCCCCAGGCTTGGTGCTGCTCTCCATGCTTCTGCCCAGCTGCAGCTGCAGCTTCGCCTCCACCCCCCACTGCTTTGAGGGAATGAGGGTGCTACAAGCATGGGGCTAGCTGGCAGGCTGTCTGCATACTGAATCATCCTCATGCCCCAGCCAGCCTTGCCAGTGTCTAGATGTGTGGTGCAGCATGCGAAAAAACACCAGATAGTACTAGTGTTTACAAGTACTAAGCTATGTCGGCATGTATTAGTTTACTGCAGCTTAACAAGGCCACATGTATAGACGC